TCTGACCTGCAGGGAGCAGCCAGGACCATTAGCTGGCCCATCTCACCGGCCACACTGTGCTTCAAGGGGGAGTCCGTGGGTATTCAGGGACACCAACACCCACAGCAGTGACAGCCAGCAAGCCACAGCACCAGGGGAAGGTCTGGGAATCTCTGCATGTCGCAGCCAGGGCCACGGCAGAAGCCCAGCAGTGTCAGGCAGGAGCCCCTCAGCATCTGCACACCCCTGTCTGCCTGGTGGCTGTTTGGCTCAGGGACAAAGCCCCACCTGCGGTGGTGGGACCGGGTGTGCCAGGGCTCACCCTTGTAGTGCTGGACCAGCTCCTGCAGCGTGTTGAAGTTGTTGCGCGCGGAGATGTAGAAGCCGCCGCTGTCCAGGGTTCGGATCTTGTAATGCTTCACTGCCCCGCCCTGCATCTCGTCCCCGTCCCGCACCGACAGCGAGTAGCAGCCTGGTTGGGGAGGGGTGAGCTGGCAGCTCCCACAGGGACATATCCCTGCTGTGCCCGGACATCCCATGCTCCCGGCACTCATGGAGCTGTCGCCCAGCAGAGCCAGCAGCGCCCGTCCCACCGTGCTGCCACCACCCCTTCAGCCCCAGGCCAGCTACGGCTGTGCCCCAAACACCCAAGGCATCCTCAGCACCCAAAGCAGCCTCAAGTGCATCCCCCTGTCCCTGCCACGGGGCTCGGACATGTGGCAGCACCATGGGCTCTTGCAGGGACATGGGCCCCCCAGTCCCTGTGCACAGCACAGCAGAGCCCTCAGTCTGGGGAGGGATCTCCTGAGCTCCTCTACCAGGCAAATGTGGGTGAGGGAGGCTCCCTGGGCGGGTGTTCCCCACCACTGAGCTCCAAACACCCCTCTGCACCTTTGGTCGTCTCGCTGTCCCTTATCATGAAGGACCCGATCATGTTCCCGGGGCCAAGGAGCTGCCGCTCTGCGTCCTTCCGGCTGATGCCTTTGAAAAACCACCTGCAGCAGAACCAAAGGAATCAAGGAATGCTGCCGGGGAGCCCAGGCTGCTGTGGGGCAGGGCTGAGGGCAGGACGTGGGTGAGAATAGGGACAGTTGAGGTGAGGGAGTGTAGCACCCCATGGGACCAGGATCTGCCACAGAGGGATGGACTCACTCCTCTGTCTCCAGGGAGTCAGCTCGGGCAACATAGTTGCTGGGGATGAAGCCTTCACGTCCCGTCACCAGTGACCGCGCTTGCCACCAGGCCCCTGACCTGTGACAGAAACACCGTTGGGTCGGCTCATGGCACCTGGCAGCTCCTCCAGGAGCAAGTTCCAGAAAAAAATCCTGACAGGGCCATGCAAGCCTTCAGGAAACCCTAGGTGGGGGAATGCCAGCAGCACTTACTCCTCCAGCACCTTCAGCCGCTCTCCTTTCTGGAAGCTGAGGTCCCCAGCGTTCATTGCCTCGTAGTCGTAGAGTGCCAGCACCACACAGTCCCCTGAGACTGCAGCAAGGGAGCTCCCTGGGCACCCCTCCCCATGCTGGGATGGCTGCCCGGCCACTCCTGCCATGAACACTGGCCAGGACCCCTGCAGCACCCAGCACCTCCATCTTCATCACGTCACATCTGGCCTTCGAGGGGCCCAGAGTCCCCATCCCACAGGGATTAGGAGTGTTCCCCCCAGGTTGGAGAGGACCCAGACACACTGCCCCCACACGTTCCCACCTCCTGCACCCACTTGCAGCCCCCTTGTACCTACCATCCTCAGGCAAGGGCACAGCCACACTGTGGACATGAGTGTTCTGGAAAGTGGGACAAAACCAGAGAGTGACATTGCAGGTGTCAGAGACCTGTTTCCCATGGGGGTCTTGGCCCCAGCAGTGGCAGGGACAGGAGGGCACCAAGGGGCATCACCAGCGCCACCTGACACAACAACCCACACAGCACCAGCATTTCCATCCCTTCCCAACACCTTAGTTTTTCTCTTCCTTTCTCCATAATTCCAGGATTCCCATCATGTCTACTCTGTGCTTTGTTCCAGTGTGGCCTGGGCTCCTATCCCACAGCCAAGTCCCTGCCCCAGTGCACAGGCACTGCCAGTACCCGCAGTTGGCCCCACTGTCAGTGCTGGCAGCTCCTTGGAGGACAGGGGCTGAGCCCCCCATGATGGCTCAGCCCTGAACCCCCGACTCACTCAGCAGCTCCCACTTACCCTTCTGTTGGCGGCCGTAGGGTCCCTCACATAGTGGCCCTGCTGAATGCCGGGGTCGGGATCAGGGTCAGGATCAGTTTTTATCGTCTTCTCTTGGACATCAGCTGCCTTCGACCTCACACAGCCCATGCTGCAGCCGAGGGAGGGGAAGTGAGGCCATTGCAACAGAGGTGAAAGCCCTGCTCCAGCCCCGTTCTGTCACAGCAGGCAAATTTTGGGTGGACAACAGCAGCTGCCATGGAGCAGCTTCCCAGCTCTTCCCCACTTCAGGACAGGCTGCAGCCGCTGGGCACCGTGGCAGCAGAGAGCCACTTGGTATCTTCTGCAAAGTGGGACCCTCATCACGGTGGTCTCCCCCACAGCTCAGGACTCCCCACACAGCACTGCTGGTGCCTGTGGCCCCCCCGCCACGGGTCACTGCTCCCCACCACGGGTCACTGCTCCCCACCACGGGTCACTGCTCCCCACCACGCTCCCCTGCTCTCTGCTGGGTGGAGCCGCCTCGAACAGCCAGCCCAGGGTGAAGGGAAATTCTCAACTTTCTCCAGCTCCCCAAGAAACTCAGTGGGAAAAAAATGCTGCAGGAAGCAGCAAGAGTGGGAAACCCCTCGCAAATGAACTTCCCTTGACCGGAGAGACCTGGGTGCTGAGAAAGGAGAAGGTGCTGGTGGTGACAGTGAAGGAGGAAGCTCAGGGCTGAGCCCTCGATGTGCACAGCACAGTTGCACTTCCACGACTCTCCAGGGACATCACTGTCATATCAACACCCCATTCCTCATCCTTCCCCGTGTGCCAAAGCCCAGGGTAGAGCAGGAGCAGCAGTGGCAGCCGTGAAGCTCTTCCCCCTCACTGGGCACAGGCTCTGGACTGTGCTGGATCCATCCTGGCAAACCCACACGGCACCTGTGTTAAACTCAGCTGTGCCCCACACCGGTGCCATGGCCAGTGCTTGCTGTGTTTGTCCCACACTGGATCAGGGCATCATGAAACACAACCATTCCCGAAGGTTCAAGGGTCCTGCTGGCACCCAGTCAGCACCAATCGTGTGGCCATGCCAATCCCACTGGCTCGTGAGGCATAGCTGGCGTTCCTGGTGTATCCCATTCCCGAAAGCCATGTCCCAGGGCCTGTGCAATGTCCCCAGTCACAGGGGGAGGACCAGGCTGGATGCGAGTGCCCATCACTCTGGGAGAACGGCTGCCCGCAGCCCCCTGTTCTTGCTGCCCCGTGCCCTCGGTCGGGGAGGGCAGCAGCAGGTCCTCGGCAGCCCTTGCAAGGCCACTAAAAGGGACCCCCTCATCGGGGCTGCACCGTGCCCAGCCGGGGCCCCCTGGATTCCTTGCCATCGCCCCATCGCTGTCACCCAGGGACCGCCGCTCGGAGCGGGACCGTCCCGGCGCAGGGACGGACCCACCGGGCTGCCCGTGCCCGGTCCCAGGGCTCCTCCACCCTGTCCCGTCGCCCTCGGGGCTCCGCTCCCCGAGCTCTTACCTCTGCCGCTGTCCCGGGGCACGTCCCCGTCCCCCTTCTACTCCCAGTCCCGGTCCCGGAGCCCGGGCTGCCGCCGCCGCTTTGCTCTGCCCGGCTGTGCTCCCACCTCCCCCCATAAGACCGCGCCCCTCACGGAACGGCCCCGCCCCGACTCCGCCGGTGCTGCCGGACGGGGAGGACGTGGCCGATTCCTCCTGTACCGGGGTGACAGCGGGGACCCCCCCAAAAGCACCGCAATGACATCCCAGCCTCTCGTCACATCGCTGTCCTTGGGGTCCCCCCGACGGGTGTCAGAGCCCTTCTCCCCACCCACTGCCGCCGGGACCCTGCGCGGGTTTGGGTCCTGGCACCGCAGAGTAGCCCCCAGGATGTTTCCTCACCTGGCGGGCAGTGGGGGGCACGGGTGGAGCACAGACCACGGAGTCAGCCTGGGTCTCCATCCCCAGGAAGAAGAAAAGACACCCCTGAGCATCTCATGATGGGGTGCAGGACATGGGAGGTGGGGGCATGGGGTTTGTGAAGCCCAGCTCAGAGGGGTGGAGGTGCCCCAGGTCCCCTGCTGGCCCTGGTATTACCGTGCCTAAACTCCTCTTGGTGCCCTATCCAGCCCCAGAGCATTCCAGCCTTTGCTCTGCCCAGAGCACCCCTGAATTTGGGATGGGTACAGAATCAGCAAGGGGACCCACAGCTCTGCCATGCCCCTGACCACGGCGCTGCTTGGGCTCGGGGTGTCAGAGGAAGCAGCCAGGGCGCAAGAGCAACTCACCTCATGGGGGTTTGCATATGTAAATTTCTTAAGAGAAAAAATAATTTGCTGTGGTAGCCCCGGCATCTGCTGCCCACACACCAGTCTGGGGCTGCAGCGCCGTCCTATAGTCCCCTGCCAAAGAACATCGGCTTGGGGCCATCAGCCAAGGGCCAGCAGCCATGGGACATTAGCTGGGGTAGAGAGGCCAGGGGACATCAGCTGAGGTCCATCAGGCAGCGGGGAGCATGGCCCTGTCCCTCGGAGGCGGAGGGGCTGCAGGGCGGTGCTGCAGGAAGCTGGGTCCCGGGGCAGGAACTTCCTTTTGTGAAACACCGGCAGCCTCGGCTGGACGAGTGTCACACAGGCGTCACAGGCAGCAGCAGGCCAGCTGTGGCCCCTTCTTGTCCCAGCACACTCTCGCTGGCCCCTCATATTGCTGGGGCGAGCCTGGAACAGCCGGGAGCACCTCGACTCTGGGAGTGACCTGCATGTGGTGCTGGAGTAGACAGGTGCCCCAGCCCAGCCCAGCAGCCCCCAGCCTCAGCACAGCCCCCATCACAGCAGCCCCTGCACCCCGATACAGCCTTTACTTGGGGAAGAACCTGCTCTGCTTCCAGCCCCAACATTTAATTGAAATCTGCAGAAATTACAGGATACGTGGCTCCCCTACAGCCACAGCTGCCCTGTGATTCCAACAGCCCTGCTGAGAGCTGGCAGGGCAGTGCAGAGCCCTGTCCCCTCCCACGGTGACAAATGTGGGGACAATGTCCCCCCTCCCACGTGCTGGGGCAGAGCTGGGCACCTTCCAAGTCTCAGCTTGAAGTCACATTGGTGACTGCTGCGTTTTGGCAGTGGCTCACAGGTAGTTGTCCTCCTCCTCCTCCTCCTCCTCCTCCTCCTCATCCCGCGCCAGCGCCTCGATGTCGTGGGTGATGTCCGTGATCATGCGGTTGAAGGACTCGGACTCGGAGCGCAGGGACCAGCTGTCATAGCTGCGCACAGCTGAGGCCGACGTGTTGCTCATGCTGCGCTTGATGCGGCCAAAGCTGTCGGTGAGGATCCCGCCCTCCCGGATCCCGATGCTCTCTAGGAAGGTCTCAAAGTATCCGATGTCTTGGTCAGGGATGAAGGGCCTCATTCCTGTCATGGGCACCATGAGCCTCAGGAGGCTGCCCCTGTCAGGGGAACCCCACAGGCTGCTGGCAGGGGGTCATCCCATCCTGTCCCCTGCAAGCACCGGGGTCCTGACACCCCCTGGAGCACACTCAGCACCAGCACCCCACCCCGAGGGCTGCACAGACATCAGCAGGGTAACACAGCGTGGCTGCAGACACTCACCCAGGAGGAGGAACTTCCTGCGGTCCCCGTAGAGGCGCAGGAGCTCGGTGCAGTACTCCCGCACCGGCGTGCCCAGCCGGTACTCACGGAGCAGGAGGGCAAACTGCTGGATCTCCTGTGATGACAGCTTATTGCGCAGCTGCAGCGACACGGGGACAGGTCAGGGTTGGGGACACTGGCAGCACACAGCCCCATTCCCTCACCTGTTCTCTGGCGCAGGGGGCTCAGACCTGCCTGCTGCCCCTGCCCCAGCTGCTGGCACTGCTGGCCTGCTGCCCATCCCCGTGCCCATCTCTGTGCCCTCACCGTCATCATGTAGTCCTGCAGCTGCTCCAGCCCTGCGCCGCTCTGGTCGCTGCCGCTGCAAGCAGTGGCCAGGCTGTGGTGGGAGCGGTGGAAGGAGGGTGAGGAGGTGCCACTGTAATACGCTTCAAACGTCTCGTGGGAGCCATTGCTGTGAGAAGATGAGGATCAGAGAGTCCCTGAACCCCCAGTGTGCCTGGCTGCCCTCCATCCACTGCACAGCACCCACCGTGGGATAGGGCTTGGGCACCACTGCAGCTGGGACAGGCAGCCACCCAGAGCAGGGGCACCCACCCAAGGGCAAGGGCACCTCTCCCCAGTCCAGGGGCACCCCCGGGGGGAGCCAGACTCACAAGGAGCTGCAGCAGCTGTAGTCGGCATCGTAGCCGTACGTCCCATCTGTGCGACAGCTCTCGCCTGGGGAGGGAGAGCCGAGATCTCATAGTGAGGCCAAACCCCGCACGCTGTGCCCATGCACCCTGACCCATCAGCCCCATACAGTGCCCATGAACCCCCACCCATCAGTCCCATGCCACCCCACTTGGTGCCCCCACTCCTGCCCCCAGCCACTCACTCCTGCTGGAGAGCCAGGGCCGTGTGGGCGTGGAGGTGTAGTGGTACCCGGCACGGTCCACGCACTCAATGCTCTGGTCCCCATAGATGATCTGGAACACCTGGCAGATGAGTGCACAAGACTCCTCGCCAGCATCCTGCAGCGGGGAGGAGGAGGGCAGTGAGTGCTGCCGGATGGGGGAGCAGGCAGTGGGTGGCGGGTGGCACACACCGGGGCTGCTCACCCTGTTGGGCACGGCGAGGATGATGAGGTTGGAGTAGGCGTCGGGGCAGGGCTCCTGGGGGTCCAGGGGGTTGCTGCCGGCGTGCCGCCGCTCCCAGCTGCCGAAGCCGGTGCCGCGCTCCCAGCTGCCACCGGCGGTGCGCCGCCGCTCCCAGCTGCCGCCGCACGGCTGCCGCCGCTCCCAGCTGCCCGAGGGCCGCCCGCGCTGCCGCCGCTCCCAGCTGCCGCCCCGCCGCCGCTCCAGGCTGCCGCCCTGCCGGGCCTCCTGCCCGCCCCGCGCTGCCCGCCAGTCCAGGCTGCAGATGGTGTGCCGCCGCTCCATCGCACCCCCCAGCCGGCCCCCCTCCGGCCACGAGCCCCCCGGGCGCTTCTCGGGGGGAAATGCCTCCGGCACGCCAGCTGGGGCCGCCTCGGGGTGCGCTCCGGCGGGGACCGGGTCCACTCCCAGACCTGGGGCAGTGGGGAGAGATGGGAGGGGTGTCACGGTGGGGAGGCTGCGCTGCCCACCCTGCCTGGCCCCCAGCCCCTGCCCTGGTGCCCCTGTCCCACCAGCCCAGTGCAGAGGGATGGGGGCACAGGTTCGGAGTCCCAGTGGGTTGTGAGCATCCCAGTGGGTTGTGGGGGCAGCAGGGCAGGAGATTAGGGGCCACTCCTCGGCTGGAGCACAGCCCCCTCCCCAGGGACCCTTCTCCCGGCTGGCAGCTGAGCCGGGGTTTGCTGATCAAAGAGCCAGAGCCCCTGTCCGTGTGTGTGTGGGACTGGACAGGGGGCACTCCCAGCCCTCTGCCTCCTGTCGTTAAAGCAAACAGAGCTGGCAGCACAGCTGGGACCTGCCTGCCAGAGAGTCCCAGGCAGTGCCCCCTCCAGCCTTGGGAAGGGGACATCTCCACCGAGTGCGGGGACACCTCGGACTTTGTGCTCAGCCCGTGCTGCCACCCTGGATAGATCCCGACCCCCATCAGCCCCCAGGCTCCAGCCCCCCATGCCCTGTGTACACCAGGCACTCGGGGCCCGCTGTGCCATGGCCGGTGACCCCCTGGGCCGGACCCCCGCACCGGTTTTGAGGATGAGGAGGTGCAGGGCATCGTCTCGCAGGTAAGAGGCCGCGGCGATCTCGTGGGTGGGGATGCGCAGGATCAGCTCCTCGTTGTCGCGCCAGGTGAGCAGGAGGCAGCGCGCAGAGAGGCTGAGGATGCTGTCCTGCTCCGGGGTCGTCTGCAGCGGCAGCTCCTTCAGCTGCTGCAGAGGCAGAGTGCAGGGGGGGACGTGGGGCACTGGGCAGCATGGGGCACCCGGTGCCCATCCTTTGGGCAGCACTGGGGAGCACCCTGGGGAGTGGTGACTCGTCTTACCCTGGCCGTGTCCAGCAACTGCAGCACCTCATCCCGGCTGGAGGGGTTCAGGGAGGATGTCACCCATGTCAGGTGGCCTAAAAACTGGGGGAGGACAAAATCCAGGGCAGCCTGGGGAGGCCTGGGTACACACCTTCCCCCCTGCCTCTACCCCCAGCCACCTCCCCAAGGGCAGGACACATGTCCCTGGGGTGTGGGAAGACCTTGCAGTGGGGGGTCCTTCCTGCCTCCCCAACCCACCCTCCCCCTCCCTGGCTGTTTGCCTGGGGTGACCTCATGTCCCCACCCCAAGTAGGCAGTGACCCCAGGCATCTCCGGGGACCCCCTTACCTTCACCTCCTTCTCCACGTAGTCGTGCAGCAGGATCTGGGGGTCGATCAGGTAGTCGGGGGGATAGAGGGGCACGGAGTGCAGCGGGCGCCGGTAGACGCTGCTGCGGAGCGCTGCCCTCCGCGCAGCCTTCGGGAAAACCAGCCGCTTGATGGGCGACACAAAGCCCTGGCGGGGGAACGGGCACAGGGAGGAGTCAGCACCGGGCACCCAACCCTGGCACCCACACACAGGGTCCGTGGCACCCAGCACCTGAGGACGGGCTGGGCACCTCTCTGCTCGCTGACGCCAGGTTTGCATTATTCGTGTGGTTTGGGGGGCAGTGAGTGGGGACCCCACTCCTCCCTGCTGCGCTGTGGGAGGGGTGCAGGGCCTCTCAGACCCGTGCATCTCGCCCGCTCCCACCCTCCCGTCAGTCCCCAGGGACACCAGCCCCAGCCCCACGCACCTTCTTTCCCTTCTTGGCCTCGCAGTCCATGGCCGGACTCGGAGCTGTGGCCGCCCCCACCGCCCCGCTCGGCGCCGCGGTGCTTTCCTGTGTCGGAAACTCCACCAGGATGGCTGGGATGTGAGTTCCTGCCTCTCCTGGGGGGTGCTGGGACTGGGCTGGGCTGGGCCGGCCTGGGCTGGGCTGACACTGGGACCGGGTCAGGACTGAGCCTGGGAATGGGATTGGGACTTGGCTGGTACTTGGGCAGAAGCAGGGGCTGAAGTGGGCTGGGATGGGACCAGAGCAGGCACTGGGACAAGAGCAGGTGGTGGGGGTGCCCTGGGGACCCTGCTACAGAGCAGCCCCTGCCCCTCACTGCCACAGGGCTCCTCCCTGGCCTGGGGCTGCTTCTGCTTCCCCATGGAGCCTGATCCCCCCGTGGGTCTGGAGTTCAGCTGGGGATCAGGGCCTCTGGCGGGGAGGAGGTTGGCCCAGCAGTGGCCATGTCCAGCAGCTTCCTCCTCGGGAAGCTGCATCCTGCTGGTACCTCCCCCTTCCCTCCTGGCTGCCACACCAGGGCCAGCACCACCACAGCCACCCTGCTCTGTTCCTGGAGTCCCCAAGAACCCCATGACAGAGACGCATCATCCTGCCCCGCTTCAGACCCCACCCGTGAGCTGGAGGTGCCAGCAAGGACAGGATCCCACAGGCAGGGCTTATTGAAATGAATTTAATATCTCATGTTGCAGCAAAATTAAAAATATACAAAAAGTTTGTGGTATACAAAAAAGTCTCGGGACGGACCCCGGCCTCCCGCTCACCCCCGCCCGTGCCGAGGGTCCCAGAGAAGAAGGTGGCACACAGAGTATTTACAGTACATGACAGCAGCCGCCGGGTCCCAGCGCCGGAGGGGGGCCAGGGATGTGGCTGAGACCCCGCGGCAGCCCCTGCCAGAACGAACTTCCCTCACTCCCTGAAGCTGGAGCAGCCCTGGAGCTGCACCCATCCTGTAGCTGCTTGGCCCCCAGTCATGCCCCCCTTGCTGCGGTCCTGGTGGGCCAGTGCTGCCATCCTGGTGGCGTTGGGTTTGGCTGCCCCTGTGGCACAGGCTGGGAGGGGGCAAGGGGGCAGCCTGGCCAAGCCCCAGGGCAGCAGCGGGATCCAGGGGCTCCCCCTAACCCCCAGGCATGGTCAGAATGCCCTGCCCAGAGCAGCCCAGGGCTGAGGGTACCGTGGCTTGAGTGCATAGAAAAGTGTCCCTCTGTCCCACTGGAGCGGCCCTGGGGTCCCCACACAAACCCCGGGGTGAAGGGCATGGGGGGTCCAGGTCACCCTGAACGGTGTCTCTGTCCTGCAGGGGACAGGGAGAGGGGCTGGGGCAGGGGGAGCCCAGAAGCGCTGCCCCATGCTGGCTCATCCCCATCTCTGCTGGAGTGGGACCCAGCAAGGAGCTGCCACCGCCTGGGTACTGCACAGAGGCTGCAGCGATGCTGCTCAACACCCACAGGGATGAGCTCCTGGCCCCCCCTGGCTACTGCCCCCCACCTTCCCTGAGGAAAAGAGACCCCCCCACAGAGCCATCCCATGCCTGGGGCTTCCCCAGCATGAACAGCCCCCACTACCGGGGTCTGCCCGTGATGGTGGTGAAGGAGGGGTGCAGGTGCTGGGGGGCCCAGCCCCCTGCCCAGCCCCAGCCATGCTCTGCAACCTCCTCCTAAAGGGTTTCCAAGGCTTCCAGTTAGCACCAGTTAGCACCAGCGACCCCATCGATGGCCAGCCCAGCCGGCTGTCACCCCAGCTACCGAGAAATGGGAAACAAAAGAAACGTGATGCCACCACTACTGCACATCCACCCACCCACCCCGGCCATGGCACCCATGCCAGCCCTCGGGGACCCCACATCCCATACATTCCCAGGTGCAGCTCTCCCATCCCAGCCCTCCTGTCCTCTGGTGCCTCACACGGTGCCCCATGGCACGGAGGGGCTGTCGGTGCTGCCTATGCTCCCCAGCCCGGGCAGGGCTTGGCACAGCGGCTCAGGGCAGCCAGAGGCCGGTACCCTGCGGGGCTGTTGTGGGGGGCACAGGAGTTGTGGGGAAGGCACAGGGGCCGTGGGTGCAGGGGCCGAGGGGATGGGGTGGAGCACGGCTGGGGGGTCTGACACCTCCCCTCCTCTGCAAACCCCTGCCAGCCCCTGCACACACTTACACACACACGCAGACACACAGAGAGACACACACACGCACCCCACTGGGACAGTCCCGGCCCGGGGCGGGGCACAGGGTACATTCAGCACAGCCCCTCGGTGGGGGCTGACGGATCCGGGCAGGACCAGGGACACATTCAAACCCGGAGCCCAGGGCAGTCCCACTCCTCTGGGGAGGCAGGAGCAGGCAGGGGCAGGCAAGGCGGGGACAGGGAAGAGGCTGGGTGGACACGGGGTGAGGCCAGGGGAGGAAGGATCCCAACTCAGGTTTACACTGAGGCTCTGGAGGGGGCTGATGCCGATGGGGGAGTAAATGGAAAAGCACCCGGGTGGGAAGTGATGCCAAACCCGAGAGAGGAGAACGGCTGGGTGTGAATCCCACTTTAGGGAACCCAGGGAACGCCAGCGGCCCCACACACACTCCTCAGCAGTGCCAGCCAGGCCCTGCAACCCCCGGCCCCAGCGGAGGTAGAAAATGTCACACAAAACATCACCAGGTGAAAACAAACCCGATGAGATGAAGAAGTTCCTGTGGGAATGGTGGGGAGGATGAGGCATAGCCATCCCAGCCATAGCTGGGATGCCAGCTCAGAACCAGGGGGGCAGGGTTCATGCCCACCCCAGGCCAGGGTCTGTGCCCCACAGGACAGTGGGGTTGGGAACATGGCTCAACCCTGAGCCAGGGGGAACTGAGGATGGAGATGAAGGGGCTCCCCAAGGGTTGGTGCTGCAGGGTGTGGGGGAATTGTGAGACATTGGGAGGGCTGGACAGACCGCAGTTGTCCCTGTCCTAGCTTCCTGTGGGTGACAAGCCCCATGCACACCCCAATGCAGCCCCATGGCTCTGCCATGGCACAGGCACCAGTGTCCCCATGTGCTGCCCACCACACCCCACTGTGCCCCACCATGCCCCCAGCCCAGGGTGCCCCCAGTCCCCATCCTGCACCACTGACACGGGCCACAGCACCCACTGCCTGGGGCTCAGGCACCGGTGAGGTATTTTGGCAAGGATGAGCCCTGGGGGGTGCGGGGGCAGGCGCCGTCAGGCAGGATGGGGGTCTGGGCTGCAGGAGGGCGGCGCGAGAGGGGGGATAGCACCAAGAGACCTCCCCGGCCACCGCCCGCGGGGCGCTCGGCACGGCAACACGGCAGAGCCGGCAAACCTAACGGAAGGCAAACGGCTGCGGAGACGCAGGCTGGCCGGGGTGGCACCAGGGGTCCCGCCAAAGCCCCGTGCCCCGCCACCCTACACGGTGGTCTCATACTCCAGCAGCTCCTGGGGGGCGCCGGGGGTGCGGTACTGCAGGGTAGGGGTGATGGGCGACGCGTACTCCAGCGCCAGGATGGTCTTCCTCAGGCGCCGGTCGATGAAGTGGGCGTCCCAGGCCGGGTACTTCTTCCTGGGCAGGTCAATGCGGATGACGGGCCTCTCTGTCCGCGGGGCGCGGGCGGCCGCTGCCGGCAGGGTGCGGGGTCTCACCTGGAAGACGGGCACGCAACTGTCCCGCTCCCCCGGCGCCCCTTCCCGCTCCCCCCCTGTAGTCCGCGGCAGCGAGCGCGGGGGGCTGGTGACGGCGTCCGTGGGGGACCCCGGCACTGGAGGCGGCTCCTGCCGGAAGATGCAGCCCACGTTGCGGTGGCGGAAGATGGGGCCGTTGGGGTGCAAGAGGCAGTAGTAGATGAACATGAAGAAGATGCCGAGGGCGAAGCTGGAGCTGACCACGCAGACGAGGATTAAGGCGTCGAAGTCGGAGATGGTCTCGCGGTCATAGTAGAGGAACCAGAGGATGGTGAGGGCGGCGTTCTCTGACAGCGTGATGATGTAGTAGATGCACATGCGGTAGCGGCTCCGTCCCTCCTTGACGTTGAACCAGCAGAAGATGTAGATGATGCCCACCACCATGTTGTAGATGATCTCCTCCCACTTGGACATGCAGAAATCCGTCTCGCCCTGGATGATCCAGAAGGTCATGATGCACCAGTGGGTGACTATGAAGATGCCGAAGTAGAGCTGGAACACGGAGGCGAAGAGGGCAAAGGCGATTGCACGGGCGGCGATGGTGAAGAGGTGCCAGAGGATCTGCACCACGGCACCCTTGTAGGACATGGGCATCTTGTCCTCCCGCGAGTCCCGCAGCACCTTCTGGTAGGACGCGATCATCCAGGCCAGTGAGACCAGCGAGGCTGAGGCCGAGAGCCCTGCGGGGAGCGGCTGTGAGAGCCCGCAGAGGCCAGGGACCCCCCTCCCGCTGCCCCGTTCCCCCTCAATGGGGTGTGTCCCTTACCCTGCAGCGGCTCGATGCTCTTCTGCTGCACCATGATGCTGAGCTGCAGCACAAGCTGGGGCGCGCTCTTGAGGAAGGCCTCCAGCAGCCTCAGCATGCTGATGTCCGCGCTCTCGAACATCATCCGCCAGTAGTAGTGGCGACGGCGGTGCTCGGCCTGCCACCGGCTCTGCAGCCCCAGGTACAGCGTGCGGAGGTACCTGCATGAGGTTGGGAAGGGTGAGACAAGCCCCAGCTGCCTGGGCAGTGGAGCTCACTTTGCCCTGCCCACGCCAGGACTGTTCTGTGACTGCCGTTCCCTTGATTTGGGACCCTGGAAATCCCCCTAGGCCAGGGGTGCCAGGGGCTATGGGATAGCAGCGATGCTGAGCATGTCTCTGTCTTACCCTAGGGCTCCAATTTAGGAAGGGGCAGCTTGTACAAAGCCAGTTGAACATTCCTCTGCCCTGGGCCATCACCCCACTGCCCAGCTGAACATCACAGTGCCTACCCAGCCACTACCCCAACCCTTCCTCCCTCATGCAGGGTCTGGATCCCCCCCAAACCAGGAATCCTCCCCACAGCCCCACCCATAGATTTGGGTTGTCCCAGCCCAGCACCAACATCCGACTACCTCTCAAAAGGGATATTTTGGTCCCGGCTGGCGCAGAGCCCACCCTGCTTCCCCCCGACCTGGCCAGGATGGAGGCACCAGCTGGTTGTGCTGTGCTGCCTGCGGGAAGCTCCCGGCGCTCGTGGTGGCGCTGCCTCGGCTCTTGGCAGGGCTACGGGCACGGCCACACACTGGCCCCGGCCATCTGGTCGTCGGCCGGGGGTCAGCGGAGGTGTGCGTGGCACCGACGCACGCCCGGCTGAGTCACCACCACCAGGGACCCTCCCCATGACACTGGGCCAGATCCGGCACTGCAGGAGGGGACAAGGGGCCGGCCAGGCAGGGCATCCCCGGGCAGCCCTGCCTGCACCATGGCCAGGGCTCTGCTGATGAAGAGGAGGGAGCCAGCTGAGGAGGGGAACAGAAAGGTGCAGAGGGAGGATGTCAGACCATAGATTCCTCCCAATGAGTAAAATCCTCTGGCAGAGCAACAGCTTCTCCATCAGCTCCAGAATGTGCTGCCAGCCAACTCCATCAGCCCAGAGCATGGGAGAAAGCCTGATCCCAGCACTTTCAGCTCATCTGTCAGCAGGAAGAGGCAGGAGCCAGCCCTGCTTCCACTGCAGGGACAGCCGAGTACTCCCACCCCTGGGCTGCACAGCCCTGAGAGCACAGTGAGGGCCATCAGCTGGGGCCACCAAGCCCCCGTGTCACTCTGCTGCCATCTGTTCTGCCCTGGCCAGCTCCACTGCCAGCCCCTCCCTTCTCTGCGCTGGTTTCAAAGTGACGCTTTAACCTCCACCTTGAGGGCAGCACCTAATTTTAGCCTTTGCTGCAGCCTGTCCCTCACTGCTCGGGGGGAAGAGGCTGCGACCACCCGGCTCCTGGCTCCCAGCACAGATCTGCATGCTGGTGCCACCTGCTCACAGCCAGCCAGGCCAGTGCTGCCATTGCACCACCACAGCCACTGCCTTGCAGAAGGGCAGTGACGCTACTGGTGGGGGAACAAACCTTGCTGGTGGGGGAACAAACCAGAGGACAGCCCAGAAAGGGAAGGCATGGAGTAGCAGGGAAACAACAATAGGAGAAGTGATGTAGAGCCCGGTGTGCTGCAGGGCATCACTGCTGTCCCGGGGCACCCATGCATGAACCAGGCTTGGGCACTGGTGACCTCGTCCTGTCCCTGTAATTAGCCTCGATAATTGGGCTCGTCAGAACCACAGTCTCACTGTCTATGGTGCAGAGCAGCCCCCAGACATGGACCCCAGAGCCACCAGCCCTGGCTCCTCCGCTGCTCAACAAGTGACCTGCAGCCTCCCTAGCTTTCAGCGAGGGCACAATTATCCTCCTGTCTCCCTGCCAGCTCCATGGGTCTCATTAAAATGAGATTTCATCTCCCATCAACTCGCCCGAATGAAATGTTGATTCTTATTTGTTCTGCATTTGATCATCCCGTGGTGTTTCAGCCCAGAGAATGATCCCGGCGCTGCCAGCGTGGCGGGCGCTCCCCAGCCCCGCGCCGCGGCAGCTGCACGGGAAACACAGAATCAATCACTTGAAAAAAAAAATCATTTAATTTTCAAAAAAACTGATGATGAGGCAGAAACCGACAGCGAGAGCTCTCAGGGCTAATTGCTCCCTCCTTTGTATTGCGAAGAGTCATCCAATGAAATCCCTGCAGCAGGAAGGTGGTGGCTTGGGTGGGTGCTGGGTTTGCCAGAGCCCCACCACAGCTGGGTCTGTCACCAGCGTCACCGTTTGCCCCCAACTCCCAGATACTGACTCTGGTTTTCAGGTGTTGGGAAAAAAGGATGAGGAAAAAACCCTGACTCTAGTTATAACAAGATCTGCTAATCATCATCCTCAGATGGAAAAGGATAAGGGGCCCTCCAGTCCCAGAGGGAGCAATAGGGAATGCAATTTTCCTAGAAGATAATTTGGGATCTCATCCCTTAATCCTGTATTTAAACAAGGAGAAAATTGCTTCCCTGTTACTGCCATTTAATCCCTTACACATCCCACCAAGTCAGATCATCAGGGAGAGCTGCACATTCACCCACATCACCTCACTGACAAAGCCTCTGTGTCCCACCAGCACCACACCCCAAGGTGCCCTGGGTACCCAGGGAGGATGGAAGCAGCTGATGGCACTCCTGTTCGGGGAAAGGCTTGGTCTGGCCCTAAAAAGCCCCTTGTCCTATGCACCAGGGCCATGTAGGGACTTCCAGAACTGGGTCCTGCCACAGGACAAGCTGATATCCCAAAGCTGGGGCTGGGAGGGCTCCTGCCTACATGCAGACAGAGCAAAGCCCTGGGACCACATGGTGGTAGTCGGGGGGAAAACCTTCATTCCTAGCTCTGCCACCCCCTGTGAGCCCACCCAGGATGTCCTTGCCCTCCAGGGCTGCCACCAGGACTGAGGGGTGGCACTGGGTCCCCAAGCCAGCAGAGGATGTGGGGGCATGGGTTGATGGGGTCTTTTGGGAAGGACCTGCACATGGAGAGGGCACCCCAGGCCTGGCCCCAGTGACCCCCAGGCAGCCAATCCATGTGTGGCCCTGGGCTGACACAGACATGGGCACAGGTATGTGCCCAGGCTGTGGGACCCACAGAGACACCTTGGCCAGCTGCCAGCCCACAGAGGGGACAGGGGACCCTGGCAGGCTGCTGGGAGGGAGGCACACTGGCACACGCAGCATCCCCCCTGCGGAACTTTAGTGAAGAAGCTGGCAACTCTTTGTGAGCAGATAACAATTCCTGAGCTGCCAAACCATCCAAGTACAACACATGAGCATGGTGGTGGCGTGGGACTGGCTGGGGACAGGCCCACACTGCTGCTCCTTACATGAGCACATGGTCATGCTGCCGACACTGTCTCTGGAGACCATCCATGACAGGGTATGTGCATGTGCATTGTGAACAGACTGAGGACAACTAACTTTGGGATAACCCCAGAGCCAGCGCTCAGAGCTGCCTTTGCAGCTGGAAAGCAGATGTATTCTTGGGGCTGGGGGGTCTTTGTCACACGTGGGACTCTGGGCTGTGCAGTGAGACCTGCGGGTTGGTAGAGGTGAGACCTGCAGAGCTGAGGGAGAAGGCAGGTAAATCAGGAAAGGGGAGATGTTTGGCAAGAAATACAGTGCTCTGACCAGGGAAAAGCCTTGCCTTTAGCATTTATCCAACACTGTTCTAACTGCCACATCCACCTGTACCGGATCCAACCTCGCTAATGGGTTTAACGAACTGCATTTAACTGGTCACCAGAGCTAATCCCAAATCCTGAGATTAGAAAGAGCCTCAGCTGCAGCTTGAGACCAACATGTCCTGGAGGGTGAGTGCTGAGAGTTACCGCTTTAATTGGCTTAGGAGTCTCTGTGGTGCAGCCGATCCGAGAGCGGGGCTGACACCCCTGGGAGCAAAGCCCCCAGCCACGGCTCCGCTCCAGCTCGGGCTGGGATCAGGTGTGTCAGGGCCGAGGCTGACTGCAGACAGGGCCAGAGAGCTCCTGTCCTCTCCCTCACCATCTCCCCCCGCACACTGAGGCAGGGTGTACAGCCAGTGTACCCCCAGAGTGGCCCCAGGGATTGGGGATCAGGGAGGGCAGGCGTGTTGGTGAGGGAAGGGGCAGGAGCCCCCTGAGCATGGCACATCTGCACTGTCAAACAAAGTTGCACACCCCAGAGCCTCCAAGGAAGAGCAGCAAAGGAATGAACATGCAGACGCCGACAGGGAGTGGGGAGCCTCTACTACAGCACTCAGGAGAGGAAACAGGATGGAAACCCGAGCCAGGAGCCCTGCCTGCTCCATGCATTGTTCCGGGAATTTGCCATTGTCTGCCCTCCCGGCACCAGCTCCTTGAGAGCCACTTGGTGCCAGCACCCGGCTCTTCCCCAGCACCCGGGGATGGAGCTCAGCAGAGCTGCGAAGGTGCAGGGCTGGCTCCATGGCACAGGAGAGGAAGGTGTCAAGAAACCATCAGCTCAAGCTTCTAGGGGGTCTGCAGGGAGGTACTGAGCTGCCCCAGCCTGCCTGGCTGCCACTTGCCCTGCTTGTTCACGGGCCTGTCCCCAGGGCTGGGATGGGGCAGCAGAGGAGCCTGACAGGTTGGGGACCACCTGCACCTCCTCACCCACCACCCCACAGATACAGCGAGATCAGAGCAGGATCCAAGAGGTGTTCAGGGCCCAGCAGAAGCACTTCACACCCCCAGAACCCCACTGCCATGGCCAGGCAGGTCTGCAGCAGGCCCAGCACCACCCAGCAGTGGGAATGGCAGGGCTGTGGCATCGAGCTGGGCTGCAGCTCCTCACCCACACCCACACCCACAGCTCCTATCCACACTCACTTGTGCCCACAGCTGGTGGCTCTCCCCCACCGCCCCTCCTGCTGGGGCTGCGGAGGGATTGATCCCCGTGCCCTCCCCATGTCTGGGTCCCTGCTGCATCTCGCTATCCCCACCCGCTTACCCCCATGCCCTGCCATCCCCTCCTGTGGCTTCAATGCTGTTACCCCCACCCATATCCCTGCTGCACCTGCCGCTCCCTCCAGCCCCGCCTGGCTCCATGACCCCCATTTCACCCCTCCCCTCGTACCTCCAGACATTCCCCAGCTGTAGCAGGTGAATCAGGCCCTGTAGCAGCCCCATCTCAGCCTCCTGTACCTCCATCCTCCGGTACCCCCATACCTCCAGAGCTGCCCCAGGTGCAGCAGGTGGGTCAGTCCCAAAAGCATCTCCATCCGCCCGGTACCCCCATCCCCCAGGTATCCCCATCCCCCCCGTACACCCACACCCCCTCTACCCCCACAACCTCCCCGTACCTCCAGACCTGCCCCAGCTGCAGCAGGTGGATCAGGCCCTGCAGCAGCCAGACGCAGAGGCGGCAGCAGCCGCGGGGGCCGCTGTCCTTGGTGCCGGTGCCGCTGTCCTTGGTGCTGGCGGCGAAGTCGTAGACGAACCACCTGAGGCTGAGCATCTGCACCACGAGCGAGGGCAGCAGCACGAACAGCAGCGTCAGCCCGAACCACCACCGCTGCCCCCGCACGTAGTAATGGGCCGCCAGCCACAGGTCCGAGGCGCCGTCCGCGAAGCAGACGAGCAGCGCGCAGAACACCCAGCACCCGTCCCGCAGCCGGTACCGCCGCGCCGGGGGCGCCGCGCCCGCCGCCCGCCGCTCGCCGCCGTCCTCGGGGCTCTCCAGCAGCACGGCCGGGCCGCCGCCGCCGCCGTCCGACTTCGCGGCCATGTTGTCGGGGGAAAGGAGGAGAAAGGAGGGAGCGGGAGAGACTTCCGGAGGGATGGAGCCCGCCCCGGCAGCGCCCGCCCCCGCCGGCCTCGCCCCGCGCCCGCCGCCGACACCGGCTCCCCCCCCGGCCGGCGCCGGGAGCCCGCGGCGGGTCCCGCCGCTCCCCGCCACCCCCCCTGGAAGGGGCGGCCGCCCCGCCCGCCGGCGCCGCGGGGTCCCGGGGGAGCACTCGGTGCCGGTGGGCGCCGCCCCGCGCTGGGAAGGGCGACCGGCCCCTCCCCCGAGCGGCACCGACCCACCCGGGTCCCCGCCGGGAAGAGCCGCGCGGACCCGCCGAGCACCGCGCGGTGCCAGCGGGGACCCCCCTGCACCCCACCCTGGAGCCGGTGGAACCCCCCGGGGCAGCGGCCGAGCTGTCAGACCATCCCCTCCCCGGCCGAACGAGGATCGGAGCTCCCCGGGCAGCTGCTGGGCGGCCCCGGGCTCCCCCGGTCACCAAGGCTCAGCCTGCCCGTGGGACAAGCCCCGGAGTGGGCCAGGGTGGGATGAACCTCCCAAGGTCTCTGTGGGTGGAGGGGTGGGTCAGGGTCGTGCCTGAGGCAGGGGAGTCCCAGCAGGGGCTGGCTGGGCTGGACCTGAGCCCTGCTTTGGAGAGAGAGTCATAGAATCATGGAATGGTTTGGGTTGGAAGGGACCTCAGAGCTCATCTCATTCCAGCTGCCTGCCATGGGCAGGATCACCTTCCACTGGACCAGCTTGCTCAAAGAAGGTGTATCCCCTTCGAAAAAAACAAAGATGGGGTTTGGTAGCAGGCTTTTGTTGTTCCTGAAATGAAACTGCTGGAAGTTACACATTATTCCCCAGCCTTGGGGACACCCCCAAGGGCAAAGTGCCAAGGTCCGGGTGGACCCGGGGCACTGGAGTTTGGGTGCATGAGTGTTCCAATGCTGCCCCACCACCTCTCCCCCCCTTGCTGCCCATCGGGGTTTGGACACAACGTGTCTGGCAGAGCAAAGGGCTGTACCCCGCCAAGGACACGTGCTTGCACAAGGAACAGCACTGTGCCGGCATCCCTGGCACTGCTGGGAGGGAAAGGGCTTTCTCTCCTTTGTGGTGGGTCTCCAGGGAGGGTGACTGCATGCAGGCAGCTGCCTTCTGAAGGCAGCTCCAGCCCCCAACCCATGGAGACGGGCTCTGGCTCGCTGAGGCTCAGTCCCCAAGGTTCAGCCCCATTTATCTGCCTGCAGAGGAGCCCCACTCGTGGCTGGAGCCTGGCCCACAGTCAGCACGCCACAGCACACAGCAAGGGGAGTCACGTTTGATCGGGGAAACACAGCCAGCTTCTAAATTCTGCCTTGCAGGGCAGCAAGGGGGATCAGCACAAAGAGGGGTGTGGTGAGTCTGGGCTCCTGGGGCACATTCCAGTGTGGTGAAGGTGTTACTCAGTACAAGGGAGCAGCCTCGGCGAGGCTCTCCCCGTGCTGCATGTATTACCATGGGTAATGTGACTGAAACACCTCACCTTGAGATGCTCCTGACAGATCCCCTCCACAAATGCCTGCCTGGGGGAGGGGATGCTCCCAGCATCCCAGAGCCTGAAGAAAGGAGCTTTTCATCAGCTACCAGACAGGGCAGGGCCCCTGACAAGGATGGGGTCTGCTGGCCAGAGCCCCTGCCAACGCCTGGCCACCCCAGACTTCTTTGGGATCAGTCCCTGGGGACTCTGTCTTGCCTGGGTGATGGAGCAGAGCCCATGTTGCTGTGATGGTGGCACAGTGCCAGGGAGAGGGGATCTGGAAATCAGGGAGAGAGGATCTGGAAATCAGGGAGAGACAGACCCACCTTTCTTCCCTGAACCTGAAACACCCCCTCTGAAACAGCAGTTAAAGATCCACAGCCTGAAAACATGGAGACCGTGGTTTGAAGTCTGATTTATCTTAACAACAGGCCCCAGCAGCCACATGAAAAGAGAAGAGAGAAAAAAAAAACCCTATAAACATCCCTGAAGCTTCCTGTGCAGCTGCCAGCAGGCAGGGAGGGTTTCTGGCTGCATACAGAAAAGGGCTGCAAGGAAGAAAAAGGAACATGATGAAACCAAACCTGCTCTTTCCACAAAACACACAGCAAAGCAAAGCAGACCCCGGCAGTGGGTGGGTGGCTGCTTCCTCTGGCTGTCCAGTTCCCAGGGGAACTGGTCCAAATGGACCTCTGGTCCCGATCTGAGTCCAGCTTCCAAGCAGAAGGTCTGCCCCTGGCGCTGGCTCCAGGAGGAGAAATCCATAATGATTGGTGGCTGGCTCAGAGCTTGGCTGGGGAGAGGCCACAGCACACAGCACCAGCCGCTGCTTGCTGCCCTGGAAATGTTTTCCAAATGTCCGTGGCTCTGCAATCCCTCAGCTGCAGCTTCCCCCCTGCCTGTGCTGAGCTGGGCCCCACCTTTCCAGGGAGAGCAGTTCCTACCCCTCCCTGCAGCTCAGCATTCCCAGCAAAACCCTGCCTTCATTGCACTGTCATTGGCAACCCCAGAGTCACTGTGCTTCCTTTTGCTTCTGCCAGGACACAGTCAGCCTGTTCCCACCCCCATCCCCACCTCCATCTCATCCCATTCCCATCCCCATCCCATCTCTCCAGCCCAAACTCAGAAAGCTCTCCCTCTTCCCAGCTTTCCTGGGCAGTATGAGGGCTGCTGGGGAGGTGGTGGGAGAAGGTCTGCAGCTGCTGAAGGGGACAGCCACCACCCAGCCAGGCCACACTACCCAAGCACCACATCCAGCTCCCAGCCCTGCAGCCCAACCCCAGCCTCGAGAGGCTGTGTCCGTGCACGTGCAGCAAGACAGACGATGGGCTTTCACTGCCCAGGGAGCCTTTTGTCACCTGCCTGGAAACTGTATCCCCTGGGAGGTGAATGTAGCTCCACCTCCAATTAGGATCCCAGCATGTGTCATGGGAATCAGGTGCTCTTCTCTTGATCCCATCAAAGCAACAAGGATCAAGTGCTGCCGTCACACCCAGCAGGAAGCTGAAGCCAGTTGCTCCATGGTGGATGCTGTGGGGTGAGGCTGCAGGAAAGGAGCAGACCCACATCCTACATCCTGCATCCCATATACCTGTCCCTTGTCCTGCATCCCACTCTGCAACCTGCCCCACTGCCCTCTCCTGCTGGGACTCCAAGGGAGCCAGCCCTGAGAGGGTGGATGGAAGAAACTGGTCCCTGACCCAGCCTGCAGATCTCCAGCCAGCTGCCCCTACCGACATAGGAGCATTTTCCAGCATTGGCATCCAGCCCCAATCCCGTTGCATTTTCTGATTGATGTGAGTGTGGATCACTCCCAGCCCGTGGTGCCCATGTGTGCACCAGCTCCCACCGCTGCCATGAAGCCGCCGTACTTCAGCCAACGCTGCCTCCGCAGGCAGAGGAGATCTCCTCAGTTTACTGGAGCAAATGACCTTATGGGATTAGGGCCAGTAATCTTCCAATCTGGGTAATCTCTCTTAAGGGATTATTTACCCACAGAAATGTGGTGACCACCCGCCAGCCACCGCCTCGCTCCCTCCACCCCTGCGCTCCCTGTCCCCGACAGCCTGGAGGGGCCACAGCACTGGGGTCACCACACACCCTTTGGGGAGCTCCTTGTCAAAGGAGTCCCAGGAAGGACATGTGCTAACAAGCCAGGGCCCCCAGCACTGGGACTTCTCCTTTCTGCCAGCCTGTGCTCACTGCCTCGGGCAGGTCACTGGGGCTCCCTCCCATCAAAGCATCGATCCAGGACAGATTAGAGGTCTCTCCACCGTCACCAGGGAAGCAGCAGCTGAGCAGGTGACAGAGGTGACTGCTTGGAGACAGGGCTGCATTTGGAAACCCAAGATGCTGTTCCAGGGCTTTGTCCAGAGCAGGGACACAGGACATGAAGACCAGTGCCCCCTGGGTGGGTTGCTGGGGCCCCTCTCCCACCAGAGAGCTCACCCAGTGAAGGTCTGCTGGTCCTTGCTGTCAGTGCTGGGTTTTCCTGCATCTCCCACACCCCATTACTCTGGCTCCTCTTGCTCACGGATGGGTGGGGCAGAAAGAAGGAGATAAAAACCATTTTGAGGGGCAATATGTTTCCCTTCCTGCAGGCAGGGTCATTCAGGGCAGCACATGGATGCAGTGCCCTGCCAGGGCATTCCCAAGACTGGTCCCTGCCCAGCACAAACTGGAAGACACTGGGGCTGGCTGAGGGTGAGTCAAGCTGCTGGGACCATAGCTGGTTGCACTCCCTGGGGATGGCAGGTCCTGGATGTTGAGCTCCGGATGAGCCACCAGCTGCACGAGAGGAAACCTGAGCTCGCCGCCCCACGCTCTGAGTGCCCATTATGGCTATCTGGGGGGAAAAGAGGACAGAGAGGCCACCTGATGCTCCAAGGGCCCAGCTGCCAACAGCGGCACCGCGCTGGGAAGCGGCGGGGAAGAGGAGACAGACGGCAGTGCTGGGGGAGAGGGGACGGGCTGTGACAAGTCATAAATAATTCACGCCCAGCGGGACCAAGCAGGGTAGAGGCGCTCAGCCCCACGCCCACCCGGGCTGCGGGGAGTGGGGTGCGCTGGGGGCCGGCTGAGGGGCCAGAACCCCCCAGGCAGGGGCTCAGCGCCGCAGGGCCACGCTGGACCCTCCATCCTTCCTCCGGGCGGTGAGACCCGTGGGATTGGGACCATCCCCATCCCGGGGCGCGGAGCCAGTCCGGGGATCGCTAGTCCACGCCGTGAGATCCCACACCGGCGGGCGCCTCCCTCCCAGCCCACGGCCACTGTTCCCCGCCCCGGCGGGTCCCGCCCGCCCCGGGGCCACCGCGACCCCCGGGGGTCCCCGAGCCCCGGAGCGCTCCCGGCGGCGGCCGCCAGGGGGCGCGCGCCCACCCGGACCCTCCCGCCGCGGAACCCGCGGGCGCGGCTGCGGCTGCGGCCCGGAGCGGAACGGCGGCGGACCCGGCGCGGCCCCGGTGGCGGTCCCGGCCCCGCCATG